TTTCTGAATGTGTTTGGCGCCATACATAAAATTCGTATGAAAGTCTAGACCTAACGAGGCTATTTATGAACACGACTCGAGTTTAGTAACAACTTGCGGAATTGGGAGAAACTACCACTAGCACAACCTATCCTATGTTCAATTTCTTTTTCTCCTTTACTAAATTTGTTGTAACTGATTCATACGCCAAGGTCTCTGAAGTATTTAGTATTTACAAATTCCTCATCCTGAATTTTTATGATTCCAATTGCAGATCATGGTTTTCTATTTTGGAAAGGTTTATCTTGAGTCCCATTTCTTGGAACACTTGGTAGAGGATGTTTTCATTTTTATGATGGATTCAGGGTATCAGCTCCATCACTGCTTTCATTCCAATTCCAGATTATAGTTTCTGTTTTGGAAAGGTTTATCTTGAGTCCTATTTCTTGGAACACTTAATACAGGATATTGATTTTCTGTTCAGGATCATTCTTATTCTCTCTATGAATACCTCTGTCCTCAGCTTATTCTCACCACCCACATCATCAGGCCATTAATCTCGAGTGGGGGAGCTAAAACAGAATCACTGTTTTCTGTTGGTAGATTCGTTTTGGATGTGATATAGAATGCTTAAATGATCAGTGTTCATCTCTTCATATCTGTGTTCGTAAATGCGCAAATCATAGTCGAGGCGAATATTAATAGTCTGGGACACTTATATCTTCCTTGTGGTGTTCCTGGTGAGGTTTGAGATGTTTATGTGTTGGGGGTCCTCACTAGACATTTCAGATTCTGTTGACTTAGAGAGTTCCTCTATTTGATCGATGCATTCAGTGTATTGGCAAACTGATTTCTAATGAATAAAAAAGGAAGTATCTATTGATGCATACCATTACACAACAAAACTTAATCGTTGGCAAGACATATACATACTTCCACGGTGTTTACATCAAATTCTGTCCCAACCACCCGAATATCGCAGTAGAAATTGAAATATCACAGTAGAAAACGTTTTCCCATCCTTTTCTGTGATTCTTGGCGAATTATGAGTCCTTGGTATGACGATAAACTGCATCCGCATCCTGGGTAAGACAATAAACTACGTCCAGCAGCAAGGCCTCTGATCAGGAGATTTTGAGGAACGTGGAACCACCTCTTAATTGCTGGTGTTCCCAGGTTCACCCTGACCCGGTATTTTAAGAAGAGAAATCCTTTTTTTTAAAAAAAAAAAAATTAGTATCAGCAATAAATATTTGAAAAAAGAAAATGTTACCAGAAATAAAAATCTTTGAGGTTATTATGCCACAAAACAAAACAAACTATAAATTTTTCAAAAAATATTACCAGCTATACATTTTTGAAAAAAAAAAAGGAACTTTTGTCGGCATTAAATAACCCATTGTGGTTGATATGCCGTAAAACAAACCAAACCAATCTTAGGGAATTATAGCCCCAGTTTCTTCTTCTTATCATCTGCTTCAAGTTTCGACGTAGTGTGTCTTCATGGATGTTCTTCGTTTTAAAGAATGCCTTTCTATCAGCTTGAACCAGTCTGATCATTCTCCTCCAGCCTCTTTAATCAATAAAGGATTTCCGGCCACAGAATTAATCTTTACTGATTTTTTTTCTTTTTTTCTGATCATTCTCTGTAAACCCTGAGCCGCCCGTCTGGCATCAATGACCATGACGCGATCAAAGTCACTTGCTTAAGCTTTGTTTCCCATACACACGTATGAACTGGAATTCAACACGTCACCATGGCAATGTTTAAATGCTTATATCCATTGAATTACTGTAACGCCATTGGCTGATTAGAAATTCGAATAAAAGCATTTATTCCCGTGTATTTAATTAAGTAACCATTGAGTGTATACACGCTTAAACACACACTCGTTTTTAAAAAGAAAGAGACAGATAATACTGGCAAACCAGATCTTATTCTGAACACAAGCCATTTGCGTTAAAGATGATTATGGTGTGTCTTGCTTAGTGGCTGAAATTGTTGCTACCTGGTCTCGGAGGTCTGTGCTCGACTCCACGTAAAAAATCAGGATACCGATCTTTCAAGTAGACAGTTCCTCCCAATTCCTATTTAATTTTCTTTTAATTTTGGGTTTTGTGCTCTACTAATTTCAACTCAGAAAATATTGATACTGAATGTCGTCAGGAGATCGATTGATTGATTTCAAATAGAAGATAAATGTCGAAGTAAATTTTGTTTTAAAAGTAGGGCAAGAAAGGGAAAAACCCCAGTGAAAAGTGAACAGACAGGACAAATATCCAACCGCAGAAATCCTGGCCCCACCGAGACGGTTTTTATTTTAGAGAAAATAAATACGAGAATAAATTGTTGGCGGATATTCTCGCGAGATCTCGACTGAGTGAGATTGATCCAAAATGGAGATAGTGAACTTCTGGCGCCAATAGACATTTTTCTTGTTGTTGCGTTTTGTTTTTCTGTTACTATTTGGGGGGGGGGTATGCCCTTCCCTATTTTTCCTTCTCTATTTTTTCTTCCCTATTTTTCCTTCTCTTTTTTCTTTCTCGTTATTCCTTCTGTTTCTTTACTACTTTATTGTCCTCCCCTATTTTTCCTTCTCTTTTTTCCTTCCCTATTTTTCTTTCTCCTTTTCACTTCCCTATTTTCCTTTCTCTATTTTTCCTTACCTATTTTTTCTTCTTTTTTCCTTCCCTATTTTTCTTTCTCTTTTTTCCTTCTCCCTTTCTTATTCTCTATTTTCCCTTCCCTAATTTTCCTTCTCTTTTTTCCTTCCCTATTTTCCCATCAGTACTTTTCCTTCCCTACTTTTTCTTCTCTTTTTCCTTCCCTATTTTTCCTTCCCTATTTTTCCTTCCCTATTTTTCCTTCTCTTTTTCTTTCTCGTTATTCCTTCTGATTCTTTAATACTTTATTACCCTTTTCTTTTTTTTCTCTTTTTCTTTTTCACATTTCTATATCCATTTTGATTTATTTATGTATTCATTCATTTTCAACTGTTTTTCTCGATTGCGTTTCTTTCCCCTGTTCTTTCCTTCTTTTTCTGGTTGTCTTTTTTTTTACATTTCTTTTTTCATTCTTTCTTTCTTTCGTTTGTTGTCTCATTCTCTCATTTCATATTTTGTCATTGTTTGCTTTCTGTCTTACAATTACGGTTTTTTCGTTCTTTTTTTATATTTGTCTGCCCTAATTTTCATTTTTTTTCTCTTTCTTTTTATTCCTTCTTTTTCTCTTTCATTTTCTTCTCTTTCCTCTTATTCTTTCTTTTTCTCTTTCATTTTTCTCTCTCTTTTTATTCTTTCTTTATCTCTTTCATTTGTCTCTTTCTTCTTATTCTTTCTTTTTCTCTTTCTTTTTTCTCTTTCTTCTTTTTCTTTCTTTTATTTTTTCCTCCCAATATCAATTTATCTGAAATTTCTTAACATTCCCCATCTTATCGCTTCAATCATTCCCTCTTTCTTTATTCTTCCTCCTTTCTTTTCTGTCTAATTTTCCTTTCTAACTTCCTTTCCATAATTTTCTCTTGACCAATATAATTTTCGGCTCTTTTCTTCCAATTTTTCTTCTTTAATATGTGATAATGTGTTTAAAATAGGATATACACCCTTGGGTAAATTAATTGAAACAGCCGCTTTAGTTTCCTTTCTTTCGCCATTCGGTCAGTCTTAGACCCACTCGAGTGACAGGGTGTAACCGATTTTTATTTTTTCCTCAGATTAGGTCATTTGCAGTGGTGGGCAATTATATGAATCTATTTTCGGGGTATGTGATGAAATTTGTTTGGCCTTGAAAAAATATTGCATCAGACTTTTATGGCATCAGATTTTTATCACGCTGACATTGTTGTCTCGACTGACGATTAGTTGTCCTATGACCATTGTCTTCGATAGACGTTACTCTAAGGAAGCGTACGAAAATTGTAAAGCTCCATGAACACTGGCAAGCCTTACCAGTGAACAAATCAAATTACTATAGACCGGCCCGGGAACTCTCCTGATTTAAATCCAATTGAGAATCTGTGGTGACTCAGCAAGGAACGACTTCACGGAATGGACGAACATGTGCACTGGTTCATGTTTTATTGGAGAAATGGGAAAAAAGTAAATAATAGCGGAATTATTTGTTTTGTTTCAATTAATTTGCACATGGGTATAGAATCCCGATAAAGTTTTTAAGAAAAGTATATACGAATTTCTTGCTTTCAGACCATTCCGAAAATGAAATGGGGAATTTACCTTTTGATAAAAAAAGCTGGGGAAAATATATTAATAACTTTCGACCTGAACTAAGAATTATAAAGAAAAAATAGAATAAATATTAATGGATTTTTAAGTCACTGATTTTTCTTTCTTCTTTAAGCATGAGAAACGTCAGCTTAGGCACAATGTACGATGATTGATTATTTAAGTAGGACCAGGAATAAACACGTTTATTTATTTCGTTTTTGAATCTGATGAAGCCTACAAGGACCAAGAAGTGGTAGAGAACAATGATCACCCACTTTCTGAAGGTACACAGTACATAGAAGAAGAATATATATTCACTAATATCGTATATCGATATATTGTCATTTATTATATTGATATAATATATAATAATATACAGATAGGTTGCTTCTTGAACTTATAATCCAGTTATGTGGTTAAATTCTGAAATAGACTATAAATGACACACTATCAGACATTTAACCATACTTCGGAAGATAGGTAGATAGATAGACAGACAGACAGATTTGAAGTTTAGAGAGTTCTCACAATCTGGCAACAATTAGCTTTACAAGTGATCACCCATAGCAAAGAATCAGCGAGATTGAATATCCAGTTTCTTATGGGCGGGAACGGCAGTTCCGGTCGTCAAAGACGAAAACAAAAAGAGTTCGACGAGCGAGGAGAATGTCATTGACTGTGCATATTTTAAGGCATGATGCGCCATTTTTTGATTGAATTTTTATGGGGTTGAACATCGGAAATGAAATAATCTTGTTCCTTTCCTGAACGTTTTTCGCTCTTTTAGTGTGTGCATATCACTCCACGTACGCTGCGACCTCAAGACCCGGCGGAAGAAAAGGACTGGCGACGCACAGAAAAACAACGGGCGCCCTTCTCATCTTGAAAGCCAGCTATTGTTTCAAAATAAACGGACGAAGCAGACGTTGTGCCCGAAACATGTCTCATCATTCATGTTGTTTGTCTCTTCTTTGATTTCTCCACCCTGTCTGTTTTGTCGATAAGTTTACACGTTTTTTCTCACTGTTTGTTTATTTCAGCGAGATTCGACGACTGTTGTATTTAAAGAAGAAAGTTCAACAGAATGTGACCGCGTAGCGTGGCGCTGATATGAAAGTCTTCAGCTCTTTAAAAAGCAATGTTCTTAATATGATATATATATATATATATATATATAGAGAGAGAGAGAGAGACAGAGACAGAGACAGAGACAGTGAGGAGGAGAGAGATTGAGAGAGAGACTGAACAGATGAAATTAGATAGAGAGAGAGAGAAAATTCCATCTGTTCAATCTCTCCTTCACTATCTATCTGACTGAACAGATGTCATTTATATATTATATATATATATATATATATATATATATATATATATATATATATATAACGAGACAGACAGACAGATAGAAAGACAGAGAGGATATACAAAATGAACAGACTGAGATAGATAGATAGATAGATAGATAGATAGATAGATAGATAGATAGATAGATAGATGAATAGGAACAGAGTGAGATAATGAATAAGCGGAGAGAGATATAAATCTTAGCTTAGAGACGTAGCAGGGAAGCCATCACGAAAAGCATATCTCTCTCTTTCTCTCACTCTCTCACACACACATCCGTTCTTTCCACACCCCCCCTCTCTCTCTCTCTCTCTCACACACACACACATCCGTTCTTTCCACCCCCCCTCTCTCTCTCTCTCTCTCTCTCTCTCAATAGACGGGACGATGAATATATAAGATTGGGTACTGATAAATTCTCCACCAATTAACTTTCCCAAAATCTGACCAAATGACTAAACATTGCCGTAAATGTTTCAGTGTCCTTTTAGTTGATAAATTTTACTATCCAAAAAGAAATCGACAAAAGCTTGCAAGGCGAATGTAGTGCAAACACTGACCTTCAACCTTTTGTCTCCTTTTTGTGTATAGCAGAAAATCTGACTAGCTCTCTTCTTGGGTCACGAGCGCTTTTTTAATAAACTGATTCCTAGGAGACTCCGGTTTTCATCTCCTTCTGAAATGAAAGTCTTTAAAACAGGGGTTCTTAAGCGTGGGTAACCATACTCCTTGGGGGTATGGGAACCAAATGCTGGGGTTATGGAACTCGATTTCTGGGTACTGGTAGTTCCCCACCCCTGTGTTGTGTTTGACACATTGCACCAAAACAACAGTAAATACCTTACTAGATTAGTAAAAATCTGTTTTATTGTAGTCGAGGTACTAAATAAAATTTGTACATTTATGTTCTCTTCCTTTTTCTTGTGTAATAAAACTGAATTATAACTTTATTTTGCTTTCAGTAAAAAAATAAAGTTATCAATTCTTATGGTCTTTTTCATGTTCTATTCCTAGCAATCCATATCTAAAGTAAAGTAAATTCAAGCGATTGAAATATTTGGAAGCCATACTGGCAAATAATAGGATTGGTGATAATTATTTCGACAGTCAAGTGAAGCGGGTATGGGACCATATTGGACAATTCATTGGGCGTCTGGAATCATCAAAAGGTTAAGAAACCCTGGTTTAAAGAAAAAAGAAATTGCCTAAAATTTTAATACAAACCAAAAAAAAAAAGTTCGATAAAAATACTATTAGTGACAGACGACCCTTCCTTTTGGCCAGAACTCTTTACGAAATGGCAAATTTCTGCTGACAATGATAAGAAGTTAAGACCAGAAAAACTCGCAAAAGTAACTAAGATTCTCACGAAGAATTATACAAAAAACTGTTTGTTTTAGGGTTTTAGGATTCTTGCCCCAGACATTGTTATAAATTTTGGTGGATGTTTTGAAAATGAAATTCACAGCCCCGATGTTTGCCAAGACTGCTTAGAGTAACTAGAAACATCGTTACTTTGCATAGGTAACCCCAAATTCAAACAAGAGATGAATTGCAACGAACTGCAGGCGAATGTAACGGACTCTACTGGAATTCGAACTCAGCTCTCCAATTTCTCATCCCGAGTCAATGACCATTACAACACGACGAGCATCATCAAAACCGGTGGGACATAAAAAAGACAAAAAAAAGCGAATGTTGTTTGTTTCTTTATATTATACACGAGTAAATTGATCCTCTATGGACAAAGGGGTATCAGTAATGATTATTTGCTACAGAAAACTAAAAAATGCTTCAGAAATTGTTTGATAAGAATGATACGAGCCAGGGAAAAAAGCTTTCCTGTTTAAAAAAAAAACAAAAAAAAAAACGGACAAACTTCTGTTGACGATTATGAAGATTCCTGTCGACTGCTGACGGAAAAAAAGACATTGCAAAAGATGCCTAAAAAAGATCTCCACGAACCGTAGACAAATAATTTATTTGTGTGTTGCGGCATTTTTCGCATGCTACCGTTCAACATACTTATTTTAACCAATGCGAATCGTTGTTGTAGAATCTGTGTCAAAATGTTGTAAAGACAGCGAGTAGCAGTATCGCGTTGCTATGTAAATAGAAACAAAACATTATTGCAGAAATGTTTTTTTGTTATTTTGTTTTGTCTTAATTGAATCTTTTATTGCTTCTGAAGTGGTTGCGACAAACTTTAAATTAAACTTAGATATTTGTTTCATTTCTTGCCGTGTTGAGATAGTAGACAGTGTTCTGTATTTAGTTTTGTCAAGGGTATTTATGTTTTGTTTTTTGTTTTTTTGGGTTTTTTTGTGGTGAATTTTGTAATATTTTCTCTTCGCTTTATATATAAGATAATTAGGAATTTAGAAGGCACCAAAAGAGAAAATAATTTATGAAGGTGAAAATGTATTGATAGTACACTAATTCCAGAAACCCCTACGGTAAATTGATGTCCAAGATCACACACACACACACATACATATATATCAAATATGTGATGCAGTTCAATTTATATTTCATACAAAAAGTAGATTAGTAAAGTTAATGATATAAATGGCGAAAAACATCTTCGCAAACAAAATTATTAAAGTTACATTAACCTACAAACCACTCGATTAATGTTATGATCCTTCTTTTTCATAACTTCAAGTTGTATAAGGTCTTTTTTTATTCTGCTATTACTTTCAGCTGTACATACAGCCATCCTCAGGCATGGAAATTAATTTGAGAATCTGTGATGAATCTGCAAGGAAAGACTTCGTAGAATGAACATTCGAAATAATAATAATGTGCACTGCGTTATGTGTCATTGGTAAAATACGGAAAAAAGTAAATTATTCGGTTTTTTTTTTCACTTAATTTGCACAAGGGTGTAGTGTTCCAAAATATGCTAGGATATAAATGAAAACGTTTGGCGATGGTAGTAATTACATTTCACTCCTGGGAGACGATCGAACCAAAACAAAGCATTAACATGAATTTTGGTTAGTTTACGCATAATTTTGATCCAGATATCCAATAATTTACTCGAAAATTAGAAAAATAGAATAAGAAAATTAAACTGACAGAACGTGTTGATTGATGTTAATAAGGGTGCGTCCGTACGTTGCACACACCAAAACATTGTCGGCCCGACACATCTCCTAAAAGTCTGGCCAGACATCAGTTTTGTTTTAAGAGATTGTTGATAATGGCGAAAATGTCAGTATGAAAGTGCAAACTCATAAGATGGAAGAATGTTAATTACTTGCTCTCTCTCATTCTCTCTCTTTCTACCGTTCTCTTCTTCTTTCTTTATCTCTCCCACGTTCACTCTCTCCTACGTTCACTCTCTCTCCTCTACTTTCTCTGTCTCTCACTCAGTATCTCCTATTTGCTCTCAATTTCTCTCTCTCCTTCTTTCTCCCTTCTGTCATCCATTTTTGTCTTTTTCTCTTTTCCCCACTCTATCTATTTCCATTCTCTTTCTCTCTATTTTTTTTATTCTGCATCTCTTTTCCTTTGTGTGTATTTTCCCTATTCTATCTGTCTTTCTTTTTTTCTTTATTTCTTTGTATCTTTCTCTATCGCTCTTTCTTTCTTTCTCCTCAATCTCTTTTCTCTCTCTTTCTCTGTCTCTATCTATCTCTCTTTGTCACTTTTCTTTCTATATCTCTCTTTTCCTTTCTGTCTTTATTTTCTCTATTCTTTCTCTTTCCTTCTTTCTCTATCTCCCTTAAATAAGTTTATCGAATGGATGCAAAAAAAAAATGTTTCCACCCGACTAGAAAGAGGTTCAAAAGAAAATTCTAATGTCTGGCCATTTGGTCAGATTTGGGAAACTGGTCAGGTTGAGAACTTTTCAGCACCTCCTCATTTACGCCTTAAAAGAAGGACATATAACGCATGCGCGTGGTGGTAAGTGCAAGAGTCAAGTTGCCTGCGGACAACTTTTCTATATACGTGTATCAGGCAAATGTGATTGGAACGGGCGTGAACTGAACACTATACTCGACGACCATACAGAGTAATTCAGAGTTTCCATCCAGAAAGGTGTGGCTGCGACGTATCAACAAAATCAGACGCGCATGGTCGCGCTGTGTACACAGATCAAACGAACGATCAGAACTGACTTTGACGTCAGGAGTAACAACGGCTCACAGCAGACACAAGTGAGATAACCCATGCGGAACAGATGATGTCCCCCTGCTGACATGATATGTGATAAGTGTGCAGTAACGTATTATGTCTGTGCGCGCTCCATATATATATATATATATATATATATATATATATATATATATATATATATACTATGTTTATACGTTGTTTTTTTTATAGATACAAATATTTAAAATATTTATAAACACAAAAAATGTCTTTAAATAATTGTCGGATAATTTGTCCATTTCAGAATTTGTGACGTCATTTGTTTACATTTAGATACTCATCGAGCAGATATGAATGTATGAGAGAAAATCATGGAGAATTGTAGTTTAAAAACAGTAAAATCAACCTTGCTAACCGAAATGCTCTTCTGTTGCTCAATCGGTAAAACACGCCAGGCTATATGACGGTTCCGTATAGGATACAGATTCGATTCCTGTCGCATATTTTCTATGAAAATTTCTTGGATATTCAGGCCGGTAAATGTTATTAATACTGTTTATTATAAACAGAGCATTTACTTAAATATTTGTACCTATAAAAGAAATGTATAAAAATGTCTTAAAAAATATATATATATATATATATATATATATATATATATATATATATATATATATATATGGCGCGTGAAACCATCGCGAGGTCTGCTGCTAAGAAAGTCGTTCCACTGTGTCGTGCAAGACAATTTTCTCTATCCTGAATCTCTCTTATTTATATGTCTACCATTCTTCCATGCCTTGAATATTGCTGCCACATAATGCCCGGTGTTCTGGCTGCATATCTAGAGATCCTTGATAAAATCCAAAGAAAAATCCGCAACGTTATTGGTCCTGACCTGGCATCTCACCGTCATTATGTCGCTTCCCTGTGCCTTTAAATACTTTCATGGTAATTGCCCGGATGAACTCTTCACTATGGTACCTAGACTTTAAAAATTTAAGCGTAGTGCTTGGTTGGTGGTGGCAAGGTCTCATCAATACACTGCTGGATTGGCTATATATATATAACTATATATTTTTTCTATCGCCCTTCTCGCTTGATGAACTCTCTTCAGGCTCTATGCTTTCTAGCCAACTTTGAACTTCAAAAATTTAAATGCGACGTCAGTCTTTATCTAATGTCCTCTTGATTACTCTTCCATTGTTCTCGCTCCTTAATAATTTTTTTCTCATTTTTCTGATTCTTTCACACTGAGAAATCACTTCTGTCTTAGAGGCGCATCACCCCTTGCATGATATGATTAAAATATTCTTACCTATAAATATCCTCCTCTTACGTTCACATCACACAACTAATTCAGTAATCCTCTAACTTAAGTGGCTCTTGGGCCTTGTATTGTGTGAAGTTTATTTTAAAAAAACTGTCAGATGCAAACACCAAGTAACCTACCTTACGATCTTTTGTAAATGGATAACTGAACAGGGACTCAGGAGGGATTTTAAGGAGACAAAAATTGCTTACAGCTACAAATGATAAGAAGTTGTGGAGAGTCATGATCGTCAATGTTCAAGTAATTAAGAGTATAACATACATACAAAAGAATGGATGAGGTAAAAATTATAGATTACAGACATACAGACGGTTTATATAGAGAGACAGATAGAAATCGGTGAACAGAGAATCGGAAGGGTAGTGGGTGTCTGGGATTTATTTCTGTGGTGCAAAACTGGGGAGGGTAAAAGCCGACTAAGCAGCAGGAGCAGCGCTCAAGTGGTTAAGGATAATAATATTAATTACAAGAATCGGTACGTAAACAGTGCGCCCAAAATTGCAAAATGCACTGGCGCATAGCGAGACATATGTCCTCAGTTGCACTAGGTGGGTCCCTCGACCGCACGTCGACTCCCTCCTCTTGGCTGAGAAAAAAAAAATTGGAGCAAACTAGATGATCGGAGCAGTGGCGGCGGCGGCGGCGGTTCAGCCGAGAAGTAAATCAGCGGGGGCGATCCACGCTAAGGAAGAGGAAAGAGATGGGAAACTGGAATGAGAAAAAGAAAAAAAAGACAGAGAGAGACGGAAGAAGAAAGAAGAAAATGCCATGCTCAAAGAGAAGAAGAAGAAGAAGAAAAAAAGAAGAAGAAGAAAAAAAGAAGAAGAAGAAGAATCTTTTGGGAAAAAGAAGAAGCATTTGGGAAGAAGGTTTTTTTAGAAGAAGGCACTTAGAGAAGACGATGAAGAATTTGAGAAGAAGAAGAAGAAGAAGAAGAAGAAGAAGAAATTACTCCAAGAGAGCTAACAAGTTTATTCTCGGTGTTATTCCTCTATAAGACGTCACCAACAAGAATTTTCATAATTAACATTCACTCGCACGCACACACACACACACACATATATATATATATATATATATATATATATATATATATATATATATAAATATAAATATAAAAGTGAACATTGAAGTCAACACTCAGAGGCGACAGGCTGTTTCATATATATATATATATATATATATTGTAGCCATCAATATTTAGATAAAAATTAGAAATCCGCTGAAAATACTTTATGTTCCTCCAATATTTTAATTATTTCATATTCAACGCGAAACAAAATGTTTGTAAAATATTTCAAAATAGAAGAGTGGACCATTCTGACAAATCCTACAAATCAAAATCTATTGTTCTACCAATAAACTCTCTCACAACTACAACTGAAAAGAATTTATCTAATTTTAGCATAAAATTTGTTATAACTACGTCTAAAATAATAAATGACTTAATAAAAAAGAACAAAATAATAATAAGCTAAATCTTAAAGTGGAAATTTATTCTGCCACCTGTAATAATTGCCACAAAGAATACATAGGAGAAACCTCAAGGAATATGAATACAAAAGGGATATTTTACAAAACAACTCACTCAATGCATGTTTCCTTTTTTTCTTTCTTGTCTCGTTTTAGTTTTATTTTCAAGGTAATAGATTAAATTTAATATTTCCAATAAGCAAGATACTTTGCTATATTTGAAACCGAATTTAAATTGTTTGGGATATTTTGATTTGAATCATTAAAAATGGCTGAATTTACAATTCTGTCAGCACAAAGTAATTTTTTTTTATTTTTCAAAAATAAAATATATATTTCTGAAACTTTATTTGAGGAAGATTAGCTGATTTAAAGTTTAACCTGATTTGAAACAAATATTACTTTTAATTTTAAATATCGCAAAAAAGCATTTTAAATACAGAGGTGAGTGTTTTTATGAGATGTTGACAACTATCTCGACAGATATGTTTGGGAATATTTTTCTACGGAGGACAAATCTATAAAAACTACTTGACCTATGTAACGTGAGCGACTTTTTATATAGTTTTTTTAACTACTCTGTAATCTTAAAAATTTAGAAAAATATTAAAAGTAATTTAAAATTCTATTGAAATTTAAGTACTTTCACTTTAAGTTTACTATAGTTACCGCTGTTAATTTCTGATAATTTCGTTTGTGGACGTCCGTATTTGCACAAATCAACATATTTATATATACACACAAAAATTCAAAATTATTTTTAAAATACTGTGGGTCGTTGGATCGCAGTCAGATTTTCTATTCATGATTAGTATAGTATGATTATAGTTTTTGCTATATCACCTAAATGCTACAAATTAGTACAGAATTTAAAAAATTTATAACTATATATTATTCTAATTATTTTTTTTAAAAATGAGGCAATTCTTGTAAATCACTCTTCAAAATGTATTTTCTTAAGACAATTGTGTCCATAAAATATCTTATTCATAAAAGTAATTAAAAACTTTTCTAAGTAAATCATGTTTTAGTTTTATTGCATTATATATATATATATATATATATATATATATATATTTTAAGCATGTCTGATTAAATAAATTACGACCATTATGCCTGCATATTTTTAGCATAATCCTTCCATATTCCCGAATATTTTTCCGTCTATCAAATTCGTGAATATAAAAGTATTATACTAAAAATAAGCCAAAATAATGTTTGTAATTCACTTAATCTGACATGCTTAAAGGAGAATTTACTGCCTAAATACATACATACATACACACACATTATATATATATATATATATATATATATTACGAAAATTAATGATAACGTTGGTAAAAATTTGTGACGCTTTTTGTCCTTTCGCTGATGATTCAGTTTATGTAACTTGACAATCGCAAGAAGAGGAGGGGGACTCTGAAAATGTTAAATGCCTTTTCTCTTTTTTGTCTTGCTAATTTGATTTCGTTTCTTTTTTGTTTTTATCCCTTGTGTTATTAGGTATCACACATTAGAATAATAAAAGATTTGCCAAGAAATGTGGAATCTTGTAAGCATCTGGGCGCAAAATTATTAGTAGGTAGGGTTTAGCGATTAAAGCACTTTCTATACACTTTCGTTTGGGTAAATTCCTTTCTCTTTTAATTAAAGTACTATTTTAATATATATATATATATATATATATATATATATATATATATATATATATATATATATATATCAAAGTGTAGAAGAACGAACGGTAAGATTACATCGTTCAAAGCATTAATTCAAAAACTTAAAAACAGTGCTCAATACATAAAGCAGAGCCGTAAATTATATATTTATATACCCAAGCGCACACACACGCACTATATATATATATATATATATATATATATATATATATAAACACATTTTTCTAAGTAAAAGATAAATTTTCAGTAGCCTTTCTATCTTTATAGTCACGTATGTTGGATTAGGAAAGAAGTAATTCTCTCAGGGTCAGTTGGGCACCGTCTGTAATAAAATGACCACCATGACGCAATTTACTCCGCCAGAATTTTGAAAACAGCATACTGTACGACTTGGTATTCGCATCGGAAGCTCTAATATTAACATTTCAGAGTGTTTGGGTGTCAATCTGAGGATAGTGAAGAGAATTCGGAAAGAGTTGGATGAGTCTTATGGTGATTACGAAGATACGGTAGCTCAGAACACACTCTGATCGTTCTGATAAGAAAAGAACTCCTGACGTCTTACATCAAGTGCCTTCAGGCGGTAGTGTGGCCCTGAGTAAAGAGGGTGGCTGCTGGAAGACACTATGTCTGGCAACTATGTCTCTTCACCATGCAGGAGAATCCAGTCATAGCTGTTAGATAATTTCTGCGACCAGATCACCCCATACATCTGGCCACCCAACTCTCCAGACTGCAACCCTCTTGATTGTGTGGGTCGCCGTTGATTGAGAGACCAATAAAACTTTCCAGAAGGAGTTGCAAGAGATTCCGAAGTTGTCTGGAGGTTGTGGCGATTTAATTGAATGAATTTACTTTTTAGAATTTCAAGAAACTTTTGACAAAAAATATCTGTTAAAATGAGATGTCAGAGTTATTTTCATTTTTGCGAAATTTAGACGACAGTTTATCCATCGCACCCTGTACATCGAACTTCTGCGTATATAATGAATGCTAATGTTCTTAGTACTAGACCACGCGCATGTGTGTTGCATTCCTTAAGTAGGTAATTGACCTTGCTTTTAATATATATATATATATATATATATATATATATATATTTGAAGAAATATAGTTTTAAGATGTGCTATATTTATAGGATAAAGTGCTCAATATCAGAGACAGAGCGTATGTAAATGTCAAAGTTCACTTTGATATATATAAATATATACATATATAAGTATGTATGTATGTATATATGAATATATTTTATCATATATATATATGTGTGTGTGTGTGTGTGTGTGTGTGTGATAAGAATATAGTTTTAAGGTATCCTATATTTTGGAGTAAAAGTGCTCAATATTGGTGATAGAATTTCATGCTTCAGGTCATATACAGCTGAAGATTACATTCAATCATGAAACAGACTGTCGCCAGTCGGTTTTGACCTCAGTGTTTACTTTTATATATACATATATATATATATATATATATATATGTGTGTGTGTGTGTGTGTGTGTGTGTGTGTGTGTGTGTGTGCATTTCTTAAGTTGGTAATTGACCATTGCTTTATCAAATATATGTGTGTGTAAGCGTGTGCTCATGTGTGTGTGTGCATTTGCATGTCTGTGTATGTGGGTGAGCGTGCGTGCGGGCACGCATGTGTATGTATGTGTGTGTATATATGTGTGTGTACCTGGTTGATGAAAATTTTTCCATCCAGTTCACTTCCAAATTTTGTCCAAACATCAGATTTTTCCTTTATGACGGACGTCTTCGTAGTGGGGACAACTTTTCAGCGCCCCTCGCATATATATACATAGATTGATGGATGATAATGAACCGGATGTGATAGATAGAGAGAGAGAGAGAGAGAGAGAGAGAGAAAAGAGAGAGAGATAGATATGATAGATAGATAGATAGATAGATAGATAGATAGATAGATAGATAATGAGAGATAAAAAATAATCAGATAGATTCTCTCTCACTAATTCTATCTGTCCAGTCTCTTTTTCATTATGTCACTGAATAGATAGATAGATAGATAGATAGATAGATAGATAGATAGATAATGAGAGACAGACAGACGGATAGAGTGAAAAGACAAAACGTAAAGACTGAAATAGATAGATAGATAGATAGATAGATAGATAGATAGATAGATAGATAGATAGATAGATATTATGTCTTTTAGATTGATCGTTGCTATCTTAGTTTTGCGATCTAATACTTTATCCGTTATTTTTCCGTCTTCCCAATTTGTTTCCCGCCCACCTTTATTCTTCTGCCGTCTCCATACCAGACCGAGAAGCCGTCGGGCGTCTAATCATGTTTTTGTTTTGTGTTGTGTCTCAACAGTAATTCATTGAATGATTATTTCTTCTAATTAAGTGATTTATCCCCTCGGATCTTGTACTAAAACGAACCCCGGAGTTTTGAAAACAACGAAACTAAGAAGAAAAGAAAAAAAGAAAAAAAACAAAAAACAAAACGGAAGGAAAACATAAAGTAGACGTCCTTCCTTCCTTTCTGTATAATTTCGTATTTATCTTGTAGAAAAACATACATAACCAACCGTCCCCCGACAAAAATCATAAAGAAAGTCGAACTACCACCACTTGTACATTTTTTCTTTCATTTTTCTGTCCCCAACCTTACTCTCCCCACACGTTAACCTTGCTCTCCCCTGTTAAAGTGGATTAAAAAAACGTCGCTTGACTTCAGCAATGAGTCGGTGCGTCTGTCGAACCCCTGACGACATATGGATTCGAACTCAAAATTCTATTAAAAAATGACACTGAGTTACTTTGAAATAAGAATTATACTTAATTTTTTGTCATTAAACAGATAGATAGATAGATAGATAGATAGATAGATAGATAGATAGATAGATAGATAATGAACAGTTTCGGATAGATATGAACAGACGAAGATAGATAGATAATAGTTTCGGATAGATATGAACAGACGAAGATAGATAGATAGATAGATAGATAGATAGATAGATAGATAGATGAACAGTTTCGGATAGATATGAACAGACGAAGATAGATAGATAGATAGATAGATAGATAGATAGATAATGAACAGTTTCGGATAGATATGAACAGACGAAGATAGATAGATAGATAGATAGATAATGAACATATGAACAGACGAAGATAGATAGCGCATATAGATAGATAGATAAAGATGAAGATAGGCGCATCATAGCGCTGGATAGATGTGTGTGGGGAGGGTACAAATCCAGTCCACGATTGAAAACCATTTTTTTAGATATTTTTGCAAATGCCTTATATGGTAATAGAAATATAAGCCGTTTCCTTATAAGGAAACATTCGGCATTCATTAACCGAGCTGCCAATACTGCTGTCGGTTAAAAAGTGCAAAATCTTCCACTTCAAACAATTTTTCAGGAAAATAGTTTTTTTCAAATCCAGTATCTGTTATCGCTCTTTCCACAATTCAGCGGGGGTTTCCTTCCTAATCTTTTATTTGAAGTAGTGTGGAATGCTAACATCTTGATTATGCCATAATTTTCTCTTTGAGTTACATATGCTATCCACTTTAGTTGTTTTCTGCTGTTTATAGTCATCAAGTTATTTGATTTCTTTAATTTGGTACCGTTCTTTGTGTGTGTGTGTGTGTGTGTGTGTGTGTGTGTGTGTGTGTGTGTGTGTGTACTCGACACTCCTGTCGAAAACGACGTATGAGGGTCAAGCTGATCAGTTCCCAGGAAACCGACAGCCTGACAACAGCACATGAGATTTGATTATAGTGGTGAAAGTTTCGTGCAGTACCATCCACACTTTTTGAAGGGCTGAATACAGAGACTACAGAGAATACAGTTTGGGGACCTTGTGGCACTAAGTTCCACAAGGTCCCCAAACGACCCTCCGTAGGTTTTGAATTCAGAGTTGTCCTTCTCCTAGACCAGTTGCCATCCAAGGCTATAGATCCCAGACTGTCATGCTATTTACCCATAGCTGGAGGGAGAAGAAGAGGATTCACACCTTTCCCAACGGTATTAGCACGTAAGTGAATGTAATGGATCCGACTGGAATGCAAATTCGGCTCTCTGATTTCTCAATCCAAGCCGCTATCCACATGGACTAACATATATATATATATATATATATATATATATATATATATATATGGATAATACTATAATCAAATCTCATGTGCTGATGTTATTTCCCATTTCATGACAAAAACAAAGATCCCATCCTGAAATGAGAAATATTAAAAAGTTGTTCTAAATATAGAGCAGGTTATAAATTTTGTAAACTATGTCTTGAGGAAAAATTAGCTATAGCTCTATATAAGGAACCTAATCAGTTATTAAATTCTAAAACCGAAATTCCAAACAAATGTAGACATAGAAATCCTTGGTTATTAGACTAGTTCTCCTCTCCCCAATAATTATATTTTATATTTTCATTATTTTTTTTTTATTGAATAAATAGTTCCACTCCTGCTTATCCGTGTTTCTTTAAACACCCCCTCCCTGTTTCGTCAATTTTAGAATAAATGGTACTCCCCAACCCCTCCGTTGTTTGTTTTTTTGTTTTTTTTTGGGGGGGTTGGTTTTTTTTGGTCACGTGATTATGGTTTTTTTGTTTATTGACTATATATTCCGTTCTTTCTTTACCTTTTTAGCCGGCCTTCCCTGACGACCAGCTTAGGTGAAACCTTGGTAGGTTTGTCTGGCTCTCTAGGTTTAACTAGGTCTGCTCTACTCATTGTATTGAGCACTTTATTTAGTTATTTTGCTTACTCGCATCGGGTTTTTTTTCTTTGGGCCTTAGACTTGCATGCAGGACGATTATTTTCGACTAACGTACATGTTCTTGGTTCTTTCTTTTTTATATACCTTTTTTTCCCTTTGATATTGTTTATTTTCAAATCAATGCACCGAAGGTTTTACGAGCGAGTATAGTTTCTTATACTTATAATATCTCTATTAATAATACACACATATATATATATATAACAAGATATACTAAATTCAATCGACAGGAAATATTGTTTCATTTATATTACATTTTAAATTGTTACACTGCATTTTTAACGTGTCACACGTTTGGATCGAAAACCTATTGAAGTTGATATGTCGTAAAACCAAATAAACCAAACAAAATCTGGATCGAAATTGTGACTAAACAATCCAAACCCTATGTTTTTGTTATGTTTTCTGTCTCGGGGATTAGCCAGAGCAAAATCGTAGACAAATCTTTGATACGTTCGCGCAGGAAGTTTTGGGAAGCTATATTTCAAATTCAGAAGATTATCTTTGGAATGTTTATCCACAATTTTGATTCAGAAATGCAACAACTAATTCAAGAATTGCAATAAAAATTAAACCGTTGACGGTTGAATTTTAATGAATTCATGCTGCTTATATATATATATATATATATATATATATATATATTAATTGATTTAAAATATGTTTTCTTTCGTTACAAAAATGGAAGGTGATAATTTTTTTGTAATTTTGTTATTAAATTAAAGACATTAGTTCCATTTCATCCTCAAGCGAATTCGCTTGAGGATGAAATGGAACTAATGTCTTTAATTTAATTACAAAATTAATTTCGGAGCTTTCAGCTTCCATTTTCGAAACATGGTTAGAACTGTGTAGCGAAAAAAAAACATATTTTTAAAGCAATTAATTTATAATATTAATGCTCTTTAAATTTACATTGAGCACTATTTTGTAAAAATAAAAATATCTATAAGAACACCGGATTATATATCTTACTATTCTTTTTCATATATATATATATATATATATATATATATATATATATGGTTAGAAAAAACTTTTTAAGCGAAAAAAAACATTTTAAATAAATATATATTTATAATAATATATATATATATATATATATCATGTTCAACGTTATATATAATGTTGTATTTATATTAAAATATCTATATAAATATAAGATAGCGTACAGTGAGTGCTTTACACACACACAAAACATAGATAGATAGATAGATAGATAGATAGATAGATAGATAGATAGATAGATAGATACCACCTGAAGAATGGACGGACAGATCCGTCGATAAAAGTCTGCAGTCAGGATGCAGAATGTAACATCAATCAGCTAAGTGTCAATTTTACTCCCATTAATCATATATATATACATGGGTTGGACAAAATAATTGGAACATTTAAATTCAGAGAAACTTTATTTAATATGGAGTTGGTTCTCACACCCAGCTTTAATGCGTCTAGCAATGGAATCATACAGCTTCCTAAATTCATCCAGAGGAATTTTCAGTCATTCTTCCATTAAAACCTTCTCCAGCTCTTTACGACACGACGGCGAAGGATAGCGGCTCCCGTAAATTGTTGCTCCAAAATGCACCACAAATGTTCAATAATATTGATATCTTGAGATTGGGGAAGCCACTCCATGTGTTGTAGCTCACTTTCATGCTCTTCATACCAATTCTTAACCACTCGAGCGGTATGTATTGGAGCATTATCGTCTTGGAAGATGCAGTCACCATCAGGGAATAAAGTCTTGGCCATTGGATGAACATGATCTCCCAAAATGTTCAGGTAATCTTTGCTGTTGATTCTACCATGCAGGGCAACTGAGACATTTCCATGATATGGCTGCCCAAACTATCACTGATCCACCTCCATGCTTCACTGTTGGAAGAAGGCAGTCAGGGTTGTAAGCTTCTTTGGGCTGCCTCCACATAAAATCCTGCCCTGAAGTTGGGAAAAGAGAAAACTCTACTTGTTTGAGAATATGACTTGCTTCCATTGGTTTGCAGACCAGGCATTGTGATCTCTGCACCACTTCAACCTCTTTTGAATGTTGCGAGTGGAGAGAAGAGGTTTCCTCACAGCGGCTCTTCATGATATGCAGCCTAATGGAGCTCGCGGTGAACAGTTTTAGTAGAAACTGAACTATTCAGATGGTTATTCAACTCAGCAGTCACTTTGGCCGCATTTGTCCGATTATTGTTTGCCACATTGCGTTTCAATGCACGTCAGTCCCTGTCAGTAAGTTTGCAAGTCCGGCCCGAATTGCTACGGTTGCTAGAGGTCTTGCCCTGTTTCTCGAATTGCACCAGTGTTCTTGATATGGTAGCTCTTGAAAAACCAAACAGTTAAGCGACCTAAGTGATCGAGGGTCCTGCCATGCGAGCTCCAACAATTTGCTCTTTTTCGAACTCGGGGAGGTCACGCATTTAGCTTAAATTTTACTAAATTCTAAAAATAAATAAGACAAAGACATTAAATTAGATAAATAAACGTATTTACAATAGATATAATCTGCAATTACGTAGTTTTAGTTAAAGTTCTTAATATAATAGGTCTTTGAAATATAGGAGTGGATTTTGCAACTGTTACAATTATTTTGTCCAACCCCTGTATGTATGTATATATATATATATATATATATAAGTGAACATTGAAGTCAACACTTAGAGGCGACGGCGACAGTCTGTTTCATGTTAAACGCAGTATTGAC